TCCGCCTCTGGAGGCTCTGGAGTCCATGCATCGCTCCCAGATGGCCCTGGCTCCATCTCTGCCTCTGACGCAGAGCCCTCATCTGGGCCTTCCCCTGACTCCAGGATTGGCCCATTGTCCAATTGAGCCTCCTCAATGTCCAACTCCGCTGCCAGCTCTGCAGGCTGCTGGCGGATCACAACATAACCTTTTGTGAAGCTTCTTCTCCAGTAACATCAAACTGTTAACTAGGGCATACAAAACTTTTGCCAGACCAATTCTCGAATACAAGTCATCTGCCTGGAATCCACATTGTATATTGGACATTAATACAATTGAGTGGGTCTAGAGATATTTCACGAGATGAGTACTCCACTCTTCTGCTCATTATAGAATCCCTTATGCCATCAGGCTAGAAATTTTGGGCTTGGACAATCTGGAACTGTGCTGCCTGCAGTCTGACCTAAGCACAGTACACTAAATTGTCTGCTACAACATCTTACCTATCAATGACTTCTTCAGCTTCAAGCTCAATAATACACGAGCACACAATAGATACAAACCCAAGGCAAACCGCTCCAAACTCGATTGCAGAAAATACGACTTCAGCAACAGAGTGGTCAATGCCTGGAATGCACTACCAGACTCTGTTGTTACATCCCTAAACCCCCAAAACTTTAACCTTAAACTGTCTACCGTGGACCTCACTCCATTCTTAAGAGGTCCATAAAGTGCATAAGCGCACCGGTGTGCCTTCCAGCCCTGTCCTACTGTCCCCATTTATTTGTATTCATTTCCTTTGTTCATGTCCATGTTCATACATACTTGCTACCTTGTACATGTTTGAGGGAGGGAGGGAGGGAGGGAGGGAGGGAGGGAGGAAGGAAGGAAGGAAGGAAGGAAGGAAGGAAGGAAGGAAGGAAGAAAAAGAAAGAAAGAAAGAAAAAAAGACCCGATGGACAATATTCCTCCAGGCCTTCCTGTCCTCTACCGTCCTCTGGAGTCCATTTAAGTTCACACTGACTGCTTCAGTGACTCCATCCAGCCACCTCGTTCTCTGTCATCCCCTTCTTCTTTTGCCTTCAATCTTTCCGAGCATTAGACTCTTCTCCAGGAAGTCCTTCCTTCTCATTAGATATTATTATGTATGATACTATAATACTCTATGTATGTAGACACCCCATTATAAACATATGCCAAGTGTACAGATGAATCAAATGGCAGTGAACACCTTCCTTTTCTCCCGTCATCTTAAACAATGACATTATAATGTTTTGGTAAAGCAAAAGTGCCCACTAAAAAAAAAAAAGAAAAAAAAGGACACAATAATTCTGCAATAGAAGCTGGGGCTCAGAGCCTGTCACTATGCTTTTTACAGTTTTATGAATTACGGCTTATTTCTACCTAGGGCTGTGATCCTGGGCTGTTTCACAGCCTTAAATAAGCAGGAATGATTCATGATCCATGATCTTTTTTTTTTTTTTCTTCTTCCTCCAGCCACAATATTAAATGAAAGAGAAGAAAGTTCTCCCCATTTCCGATAGGCGTGAGAGTCACATACACAGAAACACACAGGGGAAATTCTGCGCGTTGGCAATGAATGAAAGAACCAAAATTCAATTAGGTTCAATAAAGATCTCCATGAAACAATAAGAGGAGTAAAAAAAATAGACCATCCCATTGGGCTTGATCACACACACACAAAAAGAGTGTGTGTGTGTGTGTGTGTGTGTATACATATATATATATATGTCTCTTTAGCCAGGTTCTACCTACGTAAACCAAGATATTATGCAGGATATTACGTAGGTAGAACCTGGCTAAAGAGACATACACATAAAACCTACAAAAAAGAAAGAAAAACATATATATATCATGTTTCCTTGAAAATAAGACCCTGTTTTATATTTTTTTGAACCCTGAAATAAGCGCTTGGCCTTATTGCCATGTGCTCAAAAGCCCGATTAGGCTTATTATCAGGGGATGTCTTGTTTTGGGGAAAACAGGATATATATACAGTATAAAAGAAATCTGGAAAGAAGATAAATGGGGGAAAAAATGCCAGGGACAAATTACGATAGCAAATATGGCAGGTAAACATTTTATTTCTCTTCTTTTCTCTTTCTGGCTTTTGTTTTTGTTTTATTAAAAGAACTCTCCGAGTTCCCTAAAAATAATAAATAACATAAAATAAAAAATAATAAAATCAAATAGAAATGCATAAGAAAGTGAAATGTATAGACCCATGGTTTCTAAAGAAGTTTCTAGACATAAGTGAAAAACAAATGTAGAAAGTTAGCACCCACCCCTCTCCTAGAAGAATGAAATATTTTGAGAAACATTGAAAAGGTAGAATATTATATTTCCCTAAATGAGAAACATGCTCTTCGAAAGCAACCCCCATGTTTCTCAATAGCCCCAGCAGGACTGGGCCAGCCTATCTACAAGACAAAAGACCTTCAGCCTCAGGGTGATGGGATTAGACCACACTCAAGATCCAAACCAGGACAAAGCCATTAAGCCATACAACTTTTCAGAACACAATCCTCTTCATTACATCATCACCCAACAACTTCAACCAGATAACCTCAGCTATGACTCCTGCATAGCTCCATGGAAGTCTGACAGCAGCCAATAGAATACATGTCTTTGCACAGGAACAGGAAGCTCAAGTTCAAAACCCAAGAGAAGATATAAAAGCTACCCATTCTCAACTCCATGTGGTTAGCTGCCCAGGACCTCAAGCCTGTCCACCAGTGTGGTCCTGTCCTTCAATAAACCATCTTTCCAATCAGCCTCCATGTTTCCAGTGTCTTTCTTCCCGCTTGGAACTGAACCAGATGGATATTTCTTCCAACACAAGAGTTATCTTGAGATAAGAAGAGTGGCAAATAAATAAATAAGCAGGGACACTCTAGAAGAAGAAAACCTTCATTCACACAACCATCAGTTCAATCAGTCCCTAAAATGAGTTAATTTACTGTATTCATTCACCTTATTTGTGTAGCTGCCCAACTCAAGACATGACTCTGGATGGTTTACTATTTTGTTTTGGGGTTGTCCAAAAATTTTAAAATACAGTTGATTAACTTCTAGGAATTCAAACTGCTGAACTGCCGACCTTTCAATCGACAAGCTCAGCATCTTAGCCACTGAGCCACCATGTCCCTTTTAGTCTTACAAAAGGCTAAATGGGTTGGGACCATTCTGATCTCCACAAAAGCAGGGGCTACTGCCAAAAAAGGTTTGTCCCTTATCCCTGCTCTTTGGCTAATGGGATCTGCAGCATGCCCAGTCTACTAGATCAAATTGGATTGGTAGAGATCTTTAGGAAAAGGTGACCCCCCCCCCCAGATAATTTGATCCTTTACAGGTGATAAGCAATATCTTGAATTGCACCCAGAAACACACTGGTAACCAATCTACAGGTCGTATATTCCATATATCTGGCAATTGTACATATATAAAGCCATGACAAACAATCTCCTTCTGATTTATCTAACTCCTCTTTAGATTTGAGGATAGGGTCACCAAAATAGACCAATATTATTTGGTCCCCTATCTGGCATCATTTGCTATCCATGCAACTAGATCCTGCACCATTTTAACATTTAGTTTACTTTACTGTCATTGCACCTCGTACAACAAAATTAAATGCCACCTTCAGTGTACGTTATAACTATAAAAATAAAACACACACACACATCCTTCACATTCTACACAATTGAATTGAAACCCCCCTGACATTGAATTAATATTGCACTACACAGTAGAATTCAATATAGTTACTGCCCTGGGATAGAAGCTGTTTTTTAAGCCTATTTGTCCTTGTGTTTATTATCCTGTACCGTCTGCGAGATGGTAATAGTTCAAAAAAAAAAAGGGTGCCCAGGATGAGATGGATCTTTAAGGGTGTTTTGAACTTTCTTAAGGCAGCAGGAGCTATCAAGCTCTTCCAAAGAGAGGAGAGGTCAACCAATGATCCTCTGGGCAATGACGTTGACCCTCTGGAGTGCTGTCCTATATGCCACTGTGCCATTGGCAAACCATACACAGGTGCAGTAAATTAAAATACTCTCTATGGTGCAGAGGTAGAAGGTCACCAGCAGTTTTTCATTCAGTTGTTGTTTCCTGAGAAGTCTCAGGTAGTATAATCTCTGCTGGAGATTTGAAGTTTGCAAATATGATAATATATATGATAATCATGATAATATGGTAATACGGTAAAGATAGCTTCTATCTTTCCTTCTTCTCGTCTCTGTAGGTACCTGATTGCATCTGACAGTTGTCAGGGTTTGTGTGCGTTTCTGTGTTTATTTTAATACTGAAATATTTTTAACAAATATAATTTAGTACAATTTAATACAGTGCAATCTATCTTATTTAAGCCTTTCTAACTTTGGATGTAATCAGTTATAATTATGACATGGTAGATTTGCTTCTTATTAATTTAATAATCATCTCAGGAAAGAATGTTTATGTTGAAGCTTTGGAACATAAATCATATTTTAAAAAAATGATACCATATTGTCTAAACAAGACAGCTGCGGATAGAGGAAGTATAAAATATACAATACTACAGTTTGTATTCCTTGTTCATCACTTTATTCTCCCACCCCCAATTTGATGGAAATAATTTTCTTGGCCTTGATGTCACACAACTTTGCAACTGTAAGATCAAATTTTGTCAAAAGTGTAGAAGCCACCCAAAACAAACCAAAATCTCTCTTTAATTATCCGTCTTTCTTTTAATGCTGCATTGTAAAATATGCATATTGTTCCCGAAGACAAGAAAAGACAATGTTCCTAAACTTTAAATGAGAACAAAACAACATCAGCTACCAAAACTACTACTTTGGATCAATGCAGAGAATATACATAACATTCCAAGGAATATTTAAGTCCTTCTCTTGAGTACAATACAAGCAAGAACAACTGAGACATCCAATGGACACATCTGAACCATGGATACAAGAAACCATATGCTCATTGGAGAGAAGGGTGCATATTGTCACACTTACCCTTAATTGACTCCTTTCACAATTCATCTGTTGTCGTGAGAGCTACAGGGAATTTAGAGAAAGAGAGAAAAAGAGTTAGCAAGGGATGCTTTTGTAAGAAGATCATTTGTGAGCAATGTTGACAAGGTTAATTGTAATATGGAGGGAAAAATACACCAGGAAATGAGGAGATAGGATGCTACAAAACCATCTAGCATAAACCAGAATGGAGCAGACTTAGAATAACTTTATTTTCACTTTGAATGTACATTAATCGGCATACATTAAAATGAAATTTTGTTGCATGCAGCTCTCAGAGGGTCACCACTCCAATATATACTACATAAACATGACAAAATAAATACATTTCAAAATTATGCATATACCCACATATATTATATGACACAGAGAAAAAGCAGAGTCTAGTTTGGATGTATACATGTACATGGCGAGAAAAAAACAATCTTGCAAGTTTTGCAGACAGCCGGCCTAGGGAACAAAGCTGTTACAGAATCTCGTAGTCCTGCTAGAAATACTTTGAAACCTCCTCCCAGAGGAACAACAGAAACAGGCCGTGAAGTGGGTGTGAGGGGCCTCTAACAATGCTTCAAGCTCTAAGCACATAGCGCTTAAAAGCAGTATCCTGAATGACGGGAAGTGAGTTTCCTATGATCTTCTCAGCTGTCCTTATCACTCTCTGTAGGGACTTTCTATCTGAGGCATTGCTGCCACTAAACAATGATGCAGTTTGTTAAAACACTCTTAATTGGGCCTCTGTAAAATGTGGTCGGGACAGAAGGAGAAAGGTGTGCTCTCCTCATTCGCTGCAGGAAATACTGACACTGGTTTGCACACTTCACTAAGGATGACGTGTGGAGTGACCAATTCAGATTGTTAATTATCTGCACCCACAGATACTTAATACTGTTGACCACCTCTACAGCTGCATTCTTGATACTGAGTGGAGTATGACTATGCCAGCTCTTTCTAAAATCTACAATGATCTCCTCTGTTTTATTAACATTTAGAACCAGGTTTTATTGCAATTTTATTGCACCAGTCCACCAGAGCCTTCGCCTCTTCCCTATGATCTTTGAGCAGACATTGAACATATATCTAGAGTATATACACTCATGTCTGAATACTCAAAGGAGGTCCAAGGATGTTTTGAATGAATTCATTCTTTGATTTTATTTCTATAGCTGCCCATCATAAAAAATTGACTCTGGATAGCATACATCATAAGATAATTAAAAACAATTACAACAGTGCAAAATAAATATGGTCACACATCTTAAAGTTACCAAGATTGAGAAGGTCTGGCTCCAGAATTCTGGGAGCTGAAACCCATACATCTCCAACACAAGAAGGAAGTCCCACTTTCCATCATGTCCCCTTCAACATTTTAATAACAGAATAATAAAGTCCAAACCCTGTTCAAGCAAGAGAGCTTATACCATTTTAGAATAATGGTTGTTCAGTCTCTTTTTGAAAGCCTCCACAACTTCTGAAGCAAAGCTATTCCATTGCTCTAACCGTTAGGAATTTTCTCCTTAGTTTTAGGTTGCTTCTCTCCTTGGTTAGTCTCCATCCACTGTTTCTCATCTGGCCTTTTGGTGCTTTGGAAAATAGTTTGACCCCACTCCTCTTTGTAGGAGCCCTTCAAATACTGGAACACTGCTATCATGTCTTCCCCAGTCCTTCTTTTCATTAGACTAGACATACCCAACTCCTGTAATTGTTCTTTGTATGTTTTAGCCTCCAGCCCCTAATTATTCTAGGTGTTTGTCTCTGCACTCTTTCCAGAGTTTGAACATCTTTTTTATATTGCCATGACCAGAACTGGATGCAGTACTCCATGTGATCTTACTAAGGCTTTATAAAGTAGTACTAGAACAATCTTAAAATTGCAAGGTTGAGAAACACTGCTCTAGAAGAGCTTGTTGGAGAAAACATGTGTTGTCCAGAGAAAAGGGAGAGTGTGACAAAGAGATTCAAACTAGCCAGACACATATTCCTCGACTCTATGAGATATTAAGAGGGAAGGAGGAGGAGAAGATAGGAGCAAATCTTCAAAGCTATGCAGGAAAAAAAAAAGCATCAACAATGCACAGCTAAATAAATAATCTTCGTTTCTTAATTATGTTGCTTTGTAGCAAGTTTTTTTTCTCTCCTTAATTAAATCTTAGATTAAAGAAAGTAATTAGAGACAACAAATAGTAACTTTCTTGTAAAATATGGGATATTGTCAATGGTATGTCCAAGAGGTAAATTTCTTAGGTGGCTTCATGCAAGCAATGATTTTGCAAGTAGGTCTGAAGCATCCACAAAGTGTCAGGAGAAGACAGAGACATACAGACCAGGGGAGACAGGAGAAGATAAAAACTGTTCCATTTCAAATGGTAAAGTATGGTGGGGTGATGGAGGAAAGGAAAGTTATGGATTATCTGTCAACGCTTACGGTTCCCATAGACTAGCCATGTGGTAAACAAGAACATCTTCCTTTACAAAAATCGACCACAAAAGATGACCAGGGCCTCACAAATGAGTTTATAGATCTACCGAAGCTCACCACAAAATGAATAAAAAATGCTCCAATGTTAGCAGTCCAGAATGTCAATTCTATACACACTCATGAACATACACGCAATTGTTTTTGAAACCTGTGATCCAAGAAATATCTTAAGAAGACGCCAAGATCCTTGAATTTTATTGACAATTCCTTTTGGGCTGATCCTAACACCAGAAAATGTAGCTAGATAACACTTTTGTTTGAAGTCTACACACAGAGTGGCCTACACACTATGCTTACTTAATATGTTTTTGTCAGAAATGTCAATAGAGAACTTTTCCAGATGCATTCATGTGGCAAAATGGGGGAGAAGGAAGGAAGGAAGGAAGGAAGGAAGGAAGGAAGGAAGGAAGGAAGGGGATTACTGATTCTTTTGTGTTTTCAATCTGACAAAGTTCACAAAGTCTTCTTTCTTACAGCCACGAGGGAATTTGGGGGTAATTTAGAATATAAAATTGATTTATGCAAGAAGATGTTGTACAAATGGAATAACTAACTAGAATTCAGAAAATGTTGTTCAGATACAAAAAAATTTCAGAGTAATTTAGTACATACCACATTTTTCGGAGTATAAGACGAACCAGAGTATAAGATGCAGCTTAGTTTTTGGGGAGGAAAATAGGGGGGAAAATCTGCCTACCAGGTATTCATCTGGCTAGCGTCTGTATTCTGGTCAGCTTCAGCACATTAGTTTGCTGGTTTTTTATCCCCTGCTTGGGGATAAAAAAACAGCTTCTAAGGCACAGCTGAGAGGAAGCATCAATGAGAAAAGCAGGCAAAGCATGGGGGGAGATTGCTTCACTCGGCTAGCACCTAGTTAGGGCTGAAAAAAAAGCTTCTAAAGAACAGCTGAGAGTTGGAGCAAAGCATGGAGATTGCTTTACTTGTTAGCGCCTCATTAGGGCTGGAAAAAAGCTTCAAAAAAGCTACATTTGTAGTATAAGATGCACCCAAATTTTCAGCCTCTTTTAGGGGAAAAAAGATGCATCTTATACTCTGAAAAATATGGTATTTGATTTGGGTGGGAAAAACAGGCTAGTATTGTTATCCTGCCAGTACAGTTACACTATTTGGAAAGTCCTTGGTAGATTGATATTGGTACTATTCTGTTTCAGTCTGAAGATGGATTAAATTTTGGTTTAATTAGTTCTTTTAAAGAACTTAACCCAACTTACTTACTTACTTAATGCTTTTAGGCCATCCATCTCCCTCAAGGATGGCCTCTGGGTGGTGTACACTGTACAGAATAATATCAGGATACAAAAAGGATATAGAATTAAAATTAAAACATTAAAGTTTATTTAAGATTAAATATTTTGAAATAATAAAGTTATAGAATTATAACAATGTCAAAGAGACAAGAAATTGTCCAATAAGGCAATTTAACTCTATTAACATTGGTTAATAAAGGCCAAGGGGAGGGGAGAAAGTCTTGAAACATTTCTTTATGAATGGAATGAAAGAAGTTGGCATTGGCAAAAACAAAATTCAGAATTATTAATAAATAAGATGTATTGCTTTAGGTCTTGCAGTCTTTTGAAAGTTTGTCCTTAAAATATTGCCTTGGAAATCTTGGGTGCTCAGCCAAACAAAGGCATTTTTTGCCCACAAAACATTTTGTGAAAGACATAAATTATGTATTTATAATGTAATATCAAAAGAAGCCAATGGAACATAAAACTATAGTTAAATTCTTTTTTTTTCAACAGAGGGACTTGAAAGATGAAGTTTGAGCTTGGAATCCTTCAGGTGCTTTCCCTTCATAACACCAAATAGCCTTTTTGTGTCTATGTTGATGAAAACAATACTCCCTTCTTCCTTTCAAAATGACATGTTGGTCTTGGTTGCACTGATAGCCAATGCTTAAAGATCTATCAGACCAGGAATGGTTTTGAAGGCACATCTCATCATTCAATGATGAATTGGCTGGTTTATTTCCCAGAAGAAACCTTGATAGACTCCAGTAACAAGCCATTTTTTTTAAAATTTGATTTATATGCCGCCCTTCTCTGGAGACTCAGGACGGCTTACAATGCGTTAAGCAATAGCCTTCATACTTTTGTATATTTATACAAAGTCAGCTTATTGCCCCCACAAACTGGGTCCTCAATTTACCTACCTTAGAAAGGATGGAAGGCTGAGTCAGCCTTGAGCCTGGTGAGATTCGAACTTACAGTAATTGCAGACAGCTGGTGTTAATCACAATGCTATCAGTCTGCTGAGCCACCAGGCCCTGCCATAAAAGAATGATGACTATCTTCCAAGAAAATCTTGCTCTATATGTCTTCATATATATTTTTACAACTGTTGGGCTACCGAATGTCACCTATTCCATATATGACATGTTAGAAGTTTGCTGGGCAATAAAGTTGGATTTCATTAATGTCTTCAGGTTGGATGTAAGAACTGTAGCTGTGCATTTTTCACAATGTCCATCAATAAACGTATTACATTAAAAAAATGTTGATTTGAATTAATGAAGAATCTAGTG